GTTCAAAATTAGTATTTCGATAACATGTCGACTTTAAAATTTTTTCGACGATCGTACACTAATCGAATCTACAAATTGCTTATGTCATCTCAAAACTTATTTCGAGAACTACATTATAGGTATATCAAATAATCTAAACAGATATCGAAAATAGTTAAAATGCGTTAAACGTGAGTTTTAAAGAAATGCTTTTAACTCGCATTTTCTTTAAAAAAAATTTAATTATTTCATTAACATTTATTATTTTTGCAATACAAATTTCTCAATATAATTTTCAACATTTTATTAGGAAATTTTATATGGAATTAGACATAAAAAAATTTCGAATATAGGTAAACTTTGCGATGATTTGCCTCAGCCGAGTAGGTAAACTCGGTGGTCAACAAATTGATCACCGCAGTAATTTTATCGTGATCTCCTGCTACCGCTAATTGCTTCACTATCCCTTCCACCTATAACCCACCAACCCAAAAAACCGAATAATTACACAAAAATCAGAAAATTACTCCACAAAACCATCAAAAAAAATTACAAACAAATACATATATGTATAATCAAGACCTCGAGAGCCGCATTTTTGCACTTTTCATACATCTTATTGGAGAGGTACAAAGAGGTACGGAGAACCGCAGTTGGAATCACAGACAATGCATCAGCCATAGCAAACCCAGCAAAGAAACACTTTGTTTTCTTACTCTATTACAATTTTACTTTTAGATTACACTTGTAAATTGAGGGTTTTATGATAGTGGCAAGAAAAAAATTGTTATGGTGTATATATAATGAATTGGACTGGAAAAGTCTGAGAGCAGATCTAATTAAAAATGGAAAAAAATCAGAAAGGATGAGATTGAAATTGTACAACACAACATTTTGCTGCCAAATTTCATATTTTCATTGATATTGGGAGTTTGAAGCAAATTTATAAATTGGGAGCGTTTGGTTATTGGGAAAGTCTGTCCTGAATGGAGACACGGTCCGTGTCTTCGTTTCCCACGATCTCCGACCGATATGGAATTTAAGGCAGAAAGAACATACCTTTCGGGCGTCGACGGCGGAGGTAGTAGCGGAAAGAATCAGGAGCAATAGCTTAAGCCAGAGAAATCTAGGGATTGGAGAAGAAGAGCCTGATGGTACGAGATTTGGGAAAAGAATGTGGAAGAATCGAATAGGATTCAAGAGAGTACAGGAAACGTTAATGAAAAGGAAAGGGTTAAGGAATCGACCTTAAACTTGAAGTCGTCGGCCTCGAGCTTCAGCTCCTCCTCCGCCGCACCGGCCATCGCAATGGATCTTTAGTCTTCGCGTCTATCTCCTTCGTCCGCATCTCAAAAGCAGAGAGTGTGTTTTATTTGAGCTCTAATATAATCCAAATACAAATTGTTACTATAGAAGAACCAGTTTAGGTTAACAAAGTGTGAAAACACTCCGCACAGTGAGGAAGGCAACCTCTCCACGCTGCGCGGAGAGAAGAAGAAGAAGAAGAACCCACGCCTCTCTGCACAGTACGGAGAGAAGAAGAAAAAGGCAGGAGCTGGAGGTGGAAGGTTTATTGCCGTGAATGAGAGCAGTTAGGGCAATTTTACACTCCTCCAAACGACGTCCTTTTGGTTGATGAAAAAATGAACAGTGCCAAAAAACTGGCTCTTTTATATNAAACCAAAAATGGGAACTCTGAGTCGGAATCGAAGTCCGTGCCGCCAAAATGGCAAAGAAGGAGATGGTGGAGGCTAGGCAGGGATGATTATGATTGTCGGCGGGCGTCGCTTGGGGAATATTTGGAGGTGGATAGGAGGTTTGGCGATGGCGTTTTCTTTGGTGGAAGAGATGGCAATGGGGGTGGGTATGTGTGGGGTGGATGGAGAAGAAGATTATTGGATTTTTTTTATTTTTTTTATTTTAATTTTTTTTATATAAAAATATAAAGTTACACATTTGCCCTTTTAAAAATTAGTCAACAATTGGTCTGAAATTTAATTATTGGTCAAACTAACGGTTTCTGTCAATTTGAACTTCAGGTGCGAATTGTTTAAAAGTTTGGTATCATGGATAGCACAAATAAAAGGTTTGGTACCGTGACTGCAATTTTCCCTAAAATATCCTATTTTGAGTATTTTCTTGGATAGAATCGGATACTAATATTAAAGGACAATTATTCTTGGCCAATTATTCTTGGCCAGGCTCAAAGCCAGGCCAAGAAATATGAATTATCCTTTAATTTTTTATCTATTAAAAATCTGTTAAAAATGGAGAAGGCGCGTGTTAGCCAACTGTAGGGGTTGGAATCTTCCAACTATATATATATATTACTTGATCAATAAGATGTCATGCCATAAAACATTGTTAACAAGATTCTCATCTCTTTATTGCTTTATTGCGCCTGTTGATGGCTACCCTTAGGTTGTATATCCTTTTTCCCTTTTAATGGAATTCTTTCCTTTCCTTTCCTTTCCTTCTTGGTTCAAAGGGATCTCTTAATGTATTACAGTTTAGATTTTTTGTGGTTCATAATTCCTTCTACATTTTATTCACAACATAAGGTTTACAACATTTGACTTTGTCAAGCGTCTGATTACAACTAGTGAGAAAGAACTTCAAAAAATCATAGAGAAAAATACATTTGAAACAGCTTACGGAGACCTATTAATATTAATATTAAACTGGTCGTAAAAGTGATTTTAATTCAGAGAGAGAGATACGGATGACTGGTTGCTAGTTGGGCAAGTCCATGGCTCTGCACACATTAAAAATCACACACGGTGACGGGGAAGAATATCGCGAAGGGGAAAAATAAAAATTTATCTCAGTTATTTTCATAAACATAAATTAAGGGTTTGTTCGAGTGAAGAAGAGATTTTGTAATAGTGATTTTTCTTAAGAATTTATGATTAAAAAAAGTAAAGAAAAGATTAGAATTAACGTGTAAAATTATTTTATTGGAAAAATATATAATTGAAAACAAGTTTATCATTCACTAAGTATCGTTCGTAAGATAATAACTAAGAATCAAGTATAAGATAATATTTTCTCCCATAACATAAATTAGCACGAATATGGGAGGGGAGAAAATGTAATGGAAAATTAGTGTAAGGAAAAAAAATTATAAGATCATAAAAATCAGAGGAAAGAGCTTGCTCGCCTGAATGTGTATGAAAACAACACGATTATCTCAAGATCGATCCTAACTAATTGTGAGATCTTCAGCTTAATTTTGGCAATCACGTTAACATTTTATAGCCATATCATGAAATTGTGGAGAAGAATAATCGATGATTCCTAACGCATTAAAAATCAGGAATTATAGACAAAAATCACACAAGGAAGATCGTAAAGGGGAAAAATAAAAATTTGTCTTGGTTATTTTCATAAATATAACTCGACATGATAATTACCAAAATTATAATTAATCTTAAATGGTAGATCGTCCTTTTTACAATAAGAATAGAATCCTAAAAGTCTTTACTTTTTGTACTTGAATGGAATTAAGGGATTGTTTAGTATTTTTTTTTTTTTTTTTAAAGGTTAGCCACGACAACTTTGTGTGGGCTAACTTTGTTTAGAAAATTAATGATCCACGTTCCTCCTAAACAACAATTTGACAAATAATCTTAGCCTTCCCCTAATCCCATAAATCACGTCCGTCGGCCTATCCGACTCTCTCTCTCTCTCTCTCTCTCACACACATAAAAAAAAAAAAAAATTAGCTTTCACTTGGATTTGAAAATGAGAATATTTCTTTATCCCAAAAAGGTACTGTTTCGCGCGTTTACTCGCTAACAATTAAAAAGGGATCAGACGATTGTGTAAGGGACAAACCTGTTGGAACAAAGTCCCAAAAAGGGGTGTTTATTGAAAAAGAAGATTACAGTTTGGACACGAACAAGATGCCTCCAAGGGCCGCTAGCACACCAGTACAAGGGAATTAAAGTAATTAAAAGTTAATCTAAAAA